AAGATACATGTTTTCTCACACTGCAAGTCATCCTGGAAGCATCAAGTTAAAGAAAGAGCTTTTTTAAAGCTCTTTTTTATTGAGACAGAATATGCTGGTCTTGAACTCCTGGGATCAAATGATCCTCCTGAAGTTTCCTGTGACTGATTTATTTCACTTGGTACATAATGTCATTGAGGTTCCTCTATGTCGTTGTGTGTGACAGGATTTCTTCCTTTTTAAGGCTGAAAATATTCCATTGTATGTTTGTACCACATTGTGTTTATCCATTCATCCGCCAATGGACATTTGGGTTAGTTCCTCCTCTTGACCCTGAGGAGGATTGTTTGAGACCAGCATGGATCCTTTCTCAAAAAAAAAAAAAATCTGCAAGTGAGGCACAACAATCTATTTTAAACAGCCCTTCAGGTGACACTCATGCATAATCAGATTTGACCACTCCTGGGTTTAGATCACTAGGCAGATATCTAAATTGTTGTCTAATAATCTTCACACTGTTGCCAAACAGAAAACTGACATACCGAGCACTTTCAGGTTTCCAGGGCAACTTGCTAGAGTAAATCTTTGTTTTGCACTTTATACCAATTTTCAGGAAAATGTTGGATTAGCCCGGTTATAATAATGCTGTAACACTAGATCTCTGAAAGTTCACCCAAACTCTAATTTATCAGAGTTGCTTCTGAACAAATGGCCACATGAGAACAGCCACCCTAACCAGGAAGACCTCTTCCAGCTCAGCAGATATCTGACTTCTCTCCAGGATTTTTACTCCACCCACATCCAAGTCCCCACTTTTCACCTCTCTTTTGGGTCTGGAGAGAGGCTTGTAATAAATGGACCCAAACAGCCAGAGACAGAAGTGAAAGCAAACATGCAAACATTCCTCCTGATGCTGGGCATCAGGAGCCTTCTTCCTGGGCCTACTATCAACCGCCACAGGTTCTGGCCCCAGGTATCCTCATCCATTTCCATAGAGCCCTGCAAAGAAAAGAACAAAGCTTCACAGATCAGACTTCCCTCTGAAAAGTGGGGGAATCTGGTTTTAGTCCTAGAAAGGGAGTTGTGGTTTATGCCTGTTTTCTTGGTGTAATTATTAATAAAATACTCCCCAAATTGTCCTGCCTTAAGTAGTAAAATTCACTCTACCAAAATTCTACTGTTCACTCCTTTTTTAAAAAGCAGAAAATTTATTGTGTGATTAATCATTGAAATTCTTAAGATGAACTGGATGCTACAACAGCTGCCCTCTTGGGTTTAGGCATTGTTCCTTCTCAGAATCCATGCCTGAATCTGCGGTGTACAATATTCAGGTGTCTCACTCGACCAGTCCTGGTAGTATTTCATCTTCAAGCTTTGGGACTTCAGTTATACTTCCTCTTGTGCTTAGCAGGGTAGCCACATTTGCCACAGGGTGACTTCTGGAGGTGGCAGTGCTTAAAGCCACAGTGGTGACACAATGTGTGTTTTATTGCAACAGTTTTCAAATGATGATGTTCCCTTCAGTATCCTGCTTCTGTGGCCAAGACCAAAGAGTATTGTTAGCTCTTAGGTAAGCTTTTGCCTTTACCTAATGCTTATAAGTAGAGGAGAGATGATCCTTCAGAGGAACAGGAGATTGTATGACTGTATTTGGTACAGCCTGGAGGCTTGAAGAGGGGAAACAAGACAAGGGAGTTAATTCCTGGGGTTCCTTGGAGAGAAGAACAATGATGTCTGGGAGTAGGCATGGACTATTCTGTTGATAAAAATGCTGCCCCTAAGGAAGGGCGCAGTGGCTGACACCTGTAATACCAACGCTTTGGGAGGAGGCAAGAGCTGGAGAATCATTTCAGTCCAGGAGTTTAAAACCAGCGTGGGCAACATAGTGAGACCCTGTCTCTAAAAAAAAAAAAAAATTGAGAAGAAAAGAAATTGTGCCTAACCTCCACACATAGCTCTCTTATGCTCTAAAGTTCCCACCCACATTTCTCACCCATCCACCCCTCTGGCTTTGTCCTCTATAAGTCACTGATATTGTGACTCAAGTCTCAAGAGTTTTTCCTAAGGTAAATCTTGCTGCTAGTACAGATTGAGCATCCCTAATCTGAAAATTCAAAATCTGAAATGCTCCAAAATCCAAAACTTTTTGAGCAACAACATGACACCACAAGTGGAAATTCTGTACCTGACCTCACATGACAGTTTCCAGTCAAAATACAACCACAATTTTGTTTCACGCAGAAAATTATTTAAAACTGTGCATAAAATAAGCTTCAGACTATATGGATAAGATATATATGAAACATAAATGAATTTTATGTTTTGATTTGGGGCCCACCCCCAAGATGTCTCATTATATATATGCAAATATTCCAAAATTTAAAAAATGCAAAACACTTCTGGTTCCAAGAACTTTTGGACAAGTGAGAATCAACCTATACATACTTGGTGGTAAGCCTAACAAGGTGACTGCATTGCTTTGTATAGCACATCTTTGAAAATTGTTCAAATCTGATTTAGGGTGCCAATAGTAATTCAAGCCTAGAAACCAGATTTAATGTAAAATATGTGCTCGCTAAAGTTGTCTGCACACAATATGTTCCAATTACTTAATAACCCTAAAAAATATTTTACCTGCACATCCACTTGGCAAAATCGGCCTTCTCTCTGCCCTCTTCCAGTATACACACTGACACTATGACAATGGCAAGGCTGGCTTAAGTCAGCAGTGATGTGCAGGAATCTGGAAGCTTGCCCTTACCATATCCTGACTCTTGGATGCTTTTTACTCCTCATCTTAACACATGCCAATGTTAGGTTAAAATATCTAACATTTTTTAGTTTGTTTCAACATTAAGTCCGTGATAAAACTTAATCAATAGCCTCATTTTCCCCACTTCCTGCCCAAATCAATATACATGTCTCCTTTGAAGAAAGGGGAATGAAAACTAAAGTTGATCCTATGGTTTTAACTTTCCTTAACCTAATGTCTGCTTAAAGAAAGAACCAATCACTTACTTAGATGCCATTGATTTAGTTTCTTTGTGCTCTTGCAAATTAATAAATTATAATGCTTCCACTTTCTAAGTAAACTTTTATCATTGATTAGTCCTCAAAGGCTAATTTACTAAAATTTACTAAAAGACCAAATATATTGATTTTCAGAAAATGTAAACTGTAAGACTAGGACATGGTGAACATGTGTATAACTTGTTTTAAGTATACAGAATAGTAAATTATACGTTTATTTCAATCTAACAATCCTACAAAAGAATTGCAAGGTTGAGATCTATCAAATGAAAGATAAAACATTACTATTAATAATTATATATATGTTTTTAATTTTTTTTTGAGACGGAGTCTTTGTCTTTCAGGCTGGAGTGCAGGGGCATGATGTTGACTCACTGCCACCTTTGCCTACTGGGTTCAAGTGATTCTCCTGCCTCAGCCTCCTGAGTAACAGGATTACAGGCATACACCACCATGCCCAGCTAATTGTTTTTTGTATTTTTGGTAGAAACGGTGTTTCTCCATGTTGACCAGGCTGATCTCAAATTCCTGACCTCAAATGATCCACCTGCCTCGGCCTCCCAAAGTGCTGGGATTACAGGCATGAGCCACTCACTGTGCCCGGCCTATGTTTTTAATTAAAAAAAAAATTTTTTTTAATCTGTTCTTTAGATGTTAACTAGGATTATTTATTTAAAAGGCTGCTGTTTTCATGTGAAGTCTTTAGTGGTATCCCCTTAATTTGCCTTGAGGAACAATGGACACATTTCTCATCTAATCACAGCATTATATTTACTTGTTTATCTCTGAAAACTTACTTTACTGTTTCAACTGGCATTTAAATTTCCTACCCCACTCCAAGATTAGAAGAAAATCAGAGGAATCAAGCAACTTTGCCTGACATTCTCAGAACAAGAAAATTGGTGAATAAAATGAACCTTTCTGTACCCAAACTTATAATTCTCCCCCCAAAAGGCATTGAAAACATCAACCTAATATTGTTACTTTGTAAGTATCAATAAGCCTTAATATGTGCTGACAGTTTACCATTATGATAATCAAATAAAATTGTTAATAACAATGAAATAGAGTGACCAGATTTAGAAAACAAATGCTTATAAATGCTTCTCAAAATGTATGCTTTCAATACCTAAGCTTACTTCCCTCTATTAAAAATAAAAAATGTTTAAGAAAATAATTTTGTAATAAAGAATGAAATGCTTTTTAAATGCTTTTAGATTCATGGGTACTTAGAGATGTTAGCACAACATCTTGCAACTGGAATTTAGCTACTTGTGAACTTGGGAGAGTTAATATTCAGTTGTAATAATGAAGATTAACATGCAGGGATTACAAATTTTAGTTCACTTATAAAAACAGCTTAACCATCCAAAGGGAAGAAAAGAGCTAATGTGCTTTATATAGCATGTATAATTATGATAGGGCTTAGGGCAGTGCTCTTCAAACTTTAGTGAGCATAAGAATTATATGAAGTGGTTTTAAAAATGCAGATTTGTGACTCCCACCCCAGAGATTCTAAACTATTAAGTCTAGGACGAAGTCCAGGAATATGCATGTTTAACATACAATCTCACCCTCAGGTAACTCATACAAAATTAGGATTCAGACCCATCTTGGAGAACACCAACTTAAGATGACAGATGTGCTTGTTATTGCATATGAAACCACAGAAACATCAGCTAAAATACCCATCTTAGGCCATCTTTCACATACTTTATATTACTTTGCTAAAGAACGAGATAATCACACGTAAAGGGCTGCTGATAACAGTTAAGATTTACTCATTTCAGGTACTATACTTCTCATTATGGTCCTTAAAAATTGGCCCATAGCTTTTAAAATTAATTGATGTTTAAAAGACATGTGGAATTGGAATTGTTTCTTAACTTTCTGTTCGTTTTTACTGTCTTCAATATTGCCATTTAATATTGTTTGATATTAAAATGTAATGGAATCACAGTATTTATCATCTGTTCTTCTTCGGTTTCAAGGGAAGACGAGGGAAAACAGGACCTCCAGGAAAACCAGGACCCCCAGGACCGCCTGTGAGTAAACAATGTGATGTCTATTCCTTGGAAGAGTCCCTCTTTATTTCTGTGTGTTTATCTAAGGATTATTTTACTCCCCTGTAGATAATAACTTCCTTCTTTCTTATTATTTGGAATGACTGTTTTCAGCACTTGGATAAGTAGTTCACACTCCCTATACCCCTAACACTATCATCACCATAAACCAAGAGATAAGGGAGGCTGGTAAATGTCCACACGCCTCACCCACTTCTTTATTACAAGGATGGCAATAACTGTACTGTCTGCTTGAACATCCCAAGGCAAGTGTCCAGATAGATGAATCCTGTTCTGCACCTACCTGAACTCCATCTTCTTGATTTCTTAACATCCAGGCTGACATTTCCCCAGGAAATTAGACATCTGGGGAAGCATATCCACTTTTCTTGATATGAAACTATTTTGTTAGTAGAATTTCATGGAATGGTAAAAAGTGCTATAAAGATCATCTAACCAGTTAGCTTATCTGGATCTTTTACCTAAAGCTTCTAGAAAAAAAGGATTCAATTCCTTGTAGTTCTCGTAACTCTGCAACCTATGAGAGTCTGGTTTGTGTTCAAGCTGCTCCACTGACACTGCACAACCTGTGGTCACCAATGATCTCTGCATCACAGATTCCCTGATCACTTTTCAGGCTTCATCTTACTTTACCGCTACACAGAAATTTACACTATTGACTGGTCCCTCCTTGAAACTCCCTATTCTCTTGGTTTAGCCACATTGAATTTTTTTACCCTATGCCTGCGGCCATCTTTTTGTCTCTATCAACAACTTTCTTCTGCCCCCTATATGTTGGATGGATTAATGAATGTCAATTTTTTATTTCAACTCAGACTTTGTTCTAGAGTTCCAGACTGGTACATTTCATTATTTTTTAGTATCTCCACTTGGAAGTCTCCTAGCTACCACAAAAGTAGAATGTCCAAAACTATATTCTAAAAATAATCTTAGATTTTTTTCTTCTTCTTTATCCTTCTCATCTAAATAGTTTCTAACTCATGTCAGTTCTACATCCCAGTAGCCCACATATCCTCTCCGTCTTCACTGCCACTGCCTTAGTTTAGACCTTTGTCAGTTTGAACCTATATTTTTGAAGTTATCTGAGAGCTGTTCTCATTGTCTCTACCTTTTCCAAGTGGAGTAAAACCTCTAAATCATGACAACATCCAGGTGGGCTTGGATGGCTTAAAATTCTCTAATAGCTTAAGACTATTTTATTTTAAATTCCTCAGTAGCTTCTCTTTTCTTCAAGAAAGATGGATTCCACATCCTCTACATGCCATTCTCGGCCCTTCATCGTTTGCCTTTTACCTTGGCCTATCCTCCTCTATGCCCTTCCTTCTTTTGTAATCTGTAATCTTCCCTTACTATCTCAAAAATGCCATAGTTTACAAGTGTTCTCCAATAGGCCTATATATGCTTCTCTTTATCTTCATGACTCAGCTCAAACATTTCTCCTATAGAGCTTTTGCCAGGGCTCTCAGCATTTGAGGTTTCATCCCATGGTCCTGTACCTTATACCTCCTACAGATATAGCACATTGCTTTAAACTCTTATTTTCTTCATCTGTCTGATGACAGCATGGTGACTCTTTTGAACCTCTATTTTGCCACCATTGCCTAGAACAGTCTCTGGCCTATAGCATGTGATTGTTTATTTAATGACTAACAAATGAATATATTTTATAGATGAAAAAATTAAGACCAGGTAAGTGACCTTCTAAAGACCAAAACCACCCTGCACCACCAGTAGAGGGCCTCAACCCAGTACCTTAGGAATCTCTTGGGATGCGGTCACATGCCAAAAATGAATATGATTGCTGTCCTGTCATTGATTTCATTTCACTTTAGCCATTCTAGTGGATTGTCCTATTAACAATGCATTGGTGCCAATTGAGTATTATATAAAAGCAGATTGGGGGGATGAAAGGGTGAGGAAGCATGAACTGGGTATCTGCATTAGTCCATTCTCACACTGCTATGAAGAACCACCTGAGACTGGGTAATTTGTAAAGAAAAGAGGTTTAATTGACTCACAGTTCCACAGGCTGTACAGGAGGCATGGCTGGGAGGTCTCAGGAAACTTATAATCATGGCAGAAGGGCCAAGGGGAAGCAAGCACATCTTCACATGGCAGCAAGAGAGACAGAATGTGATGGGGAAAGTGCTACACACTTTTAAACAACCTGATCTCGTGAGGACTCACTCACAAGACAGCATTAGGGGGATGATGTTAAACCATTAGAAACCACCCTCATGTCCCAATCACCTCCCACCAGGTCCCTCCCTTAACATTGGAGATTACAATTTAACATGAGATTTGGTTGGGGGCACACTGCCAAACCATATCAGTATCCTGGAATCTAATCTTTAAAGGAATCAGCTTTGTTGATTTTTATTTCAACTTTTTAGGCCAAGCGGAGAACACAATGTAAGATTTTTTAAACAATTGTTTCATGCTTTAAAGAAGAAAAGTTGATGAATGCTAACAGGCAAGATTAGACCTTCATGTAGTTTTTTAAACCTATGATGCTGCTTTTAAGATACGATAATTGTTGTCTCAAAGGAGGAATTTGAATGTTGAAGGCCTTTATGACAAGCTTGCCAAATGTCTAAGAGAGAAGAGGATTACACTGAATTCTGGAATGAGTTCTCAACTATAGATCAAATGAGTTTACTGAAGAATTCAGAAAATTAAAAAACATGTGACTGTATGATAGGATTTATAATATTCAATTCCACAGACTTTAGTTTATTGTGCCAGAGTATCTGGGGGAGAGAGGTGCTTATTTTATTTCAAGTATAGATTTAGAACCTAAACTCAGCTCTGTGTCTGACACACAGAGTTCATTAAATCCTGAGAACATAGTATTTGAAAAAAGTGGTTTATTAACTTTTTAAATATAATAAAATAATTTGTTAGAAAAATTAGGAAAAATCTATGCAGAAAACAAAGTGTTTACTTATAGGTCAGGTTTTATTTATTAAACTCTCTACTTTCCGCTCATTTTCTGTTCAGAACTGTGGTTTGTGGAAACTCTGTGTTTCTGATTCTGGGATTACTTCTCTAATGACCTAAAATATATTTTCTCTAATACATGTATTATCAAAACCTTTCTCTGAGATACAGTTTTCATCAGCTCGTGGATGTTTTTGAAGTTGTTCATGGCACAGGTTAAATTGAGATATGCATATTAGTGTGCTGCAAAAATCCTATGGAGCACCTACTCTTACTTACAGAGCCTGGTTAAAAACAACCTTGAAGAAAGATAACTTTGGGAAGCCAAGGTGGGAGAATCATGAGGTCAAGAAATTGAGACCATCCTGGCTAACATGGTGAAACTCCATCTCTACTGAAAATACAGAAATTATCTGGGCATGATGGCATGCACCTGTAGTCCCAGCTACTCAGGAGGCTGAGACAGGAGGTGGAAGTTGCAGTGAGCCAAAATTGCACCACTGCACTCCAGCCTGGTGACAGAGTGAGACTACGCCTCAAAAAAAAAAAAATAAAAATAAAAAAGGAAGAAAAGAAAGATAAAATAATTGGCTCCCCACATTTTTCTGTGCTATCTTCACATTTAATTCTTCTAAATATTATGTACTTTGGAAAGAGGACTGTTGTTTCCCAAATGGTTTAAAATGAACAGTTCTTCAAAATCAGTCTTTTCAAGGTCATAGTAACTATTATTTTGAGAAAATGAGCTCTAAGAAAATCTTATTTACATCATTCAACAGTTTCACCAACATTTAAGGCCTACCATGTGCCTTACACTTTTGGGAGCTGGGTTTTAAAAATGAGTAAGACACTGCCCTTGCCTTCTAGGAGAGTCAAGTTTAGTTCACAAAAATGTGGGCAAGAAAGAATATGCAGTGGCTAGGGTGGTTTCCTAAGAAAACTTGAATTATAAAAATTCAGGTGGATTTTCTGGTAAAGCACATAGAAAGGGAGGAGGGAGCAAGGTAGGTACAGCTGGCAGAGGAAAGCATCATGGACAGACACCTATAGTGCTGAACCTCTGGGGAATGGGGACAGGCTGGCAGCCACAAGGCAGTGGAAACACAGTACTAGGCCAGCTGTCATAAAGTTAGGGCAGGCAGGGTCCTGGTGAACCTTTTGTGAATCTCTACAAGTCATGCAAAGCTAGGACAATGTGTGAAGAGTCCTATGCTGGAGAGTTCCATGGCCAGATGTCATTGGTAAGTCACTCAAGGGGGCACATTGGGGTTGGGGTGTTGAGAGAGTTAGCAAAATTTATTTCTGCTATCATAGTATTCACTGTTTTTAAAGTATCAGCAGAGCCCTTGTTATCTCTTAGGATGTCCCAGGGAGCTATTTGTATTTTATTACAATTTACAAATTGCTTAAGAAATGTTCCCCTTTAATTTTGGACATTTTTAGGTCAAAACATTGTTGTTTTTCATTTATTTGTCTTTTCCAACATTGGACCCTTTGTGACATGAGCCCTACTTCATAGCAAGAAGGAAGGCAAGAAGAGAATAAGAGATGGATTGGTAGGATCTAAAATTTTTCTAATTGTTATTGGACTTAGGGTATGCCTCACTCCAGTGGCCAGTATGTGAGAAACCTGAAACATGTGTTTTTATAACAATGTGAAGTATATTTTTAAAAAATTTTAATTTTATCTCCTTTATCAGACAGCAATTCAATATTATATAATATCCGTCAAATACATGACTATTTCATATAGTTTTAACATTATGTTTGCGCAATTAGTCTTTGGGAAAGTTGGAGAGAGACTTTATTCTAGTCAGTGTGATTGTCTGCAAAGAACAAAGTAATAGGAATTACCAGGAGGCATGAATTTTTTTTAATAACAGCATACTTTGTAAGAAAATGTTCTTCCCTTTGGGGGTTTAAGATGTTTCCTAAATCAAACATAGTGTTGTTATTTAGGGGACTGTCAGTGAAGACTTTAAAATCTTGAATTGAAAGGAAATTGAATTGAAAGGAAACTT